GGTTGCGCAGAGCCGATGTGACTGGAGAAGAGAGCGGTGGTTTCAAATGCCTGAGTGGCATCTTTCAGCTGCTCATTCTAAAGATTGATCTCCTCGCTACACAAGGAGTATAGGACATCCAAGCTAATGGGATTAAGGGAGGTGCGGATGGCTATTTTGAAAGAGTTATAGGTGGAGGGAAGTCCATTGATGATGTAGAGGATGATAACCTTATAGTCGATGTGGGAGTCGGCCGCAACAATGTTGCCCACAAGAGACTTTATCTAGGCGAGATATTGGGTTATGGAGTGATCGCACATCTGGATGTGGTGAAGCTCATTTTTTGAGCTAATGATGCAAGAGCGATTTGTGGGTTGTAGTCGTCGTTCGATAATGATCCATACCTCATGTGCTGAGAAAAGATTAAGTATGTAAGGTAGAACCGATGGGGATATAGTAGAGAAAAGTGCTGAAATTAGATTGCAATCAATGAGGCACCAAGCCCCCAACCCAGGGGAGACGGACCAAGGAGAGGCAGACCAGGCAAGCTCCCAGGTAGAGATTTCGGCCCCTTTTGTGAGGCCCAATAAAGAATAAATTTGTTATATTAGGAGAGGAATCAAATGAATGGTAAATTAGGAAATATTTCATAATTGAATTTAATCAAGAGGGAAAGATTTTCTAATTAAATTTAAATCAAGAGGGAATTTTTCCTAATTGAATTTAAATTAAAGAGAAATTAATAAGGAAACAAATATGTTTTGGAGGCAATTTGAGGGCTTATTTAAGGAGAGGTCTAGAGTTTATTTTGGGGTATGTATATTTTGAGTTTACTTAGTTTTCTGTAGTTTTTAATTTATGAGGGCTTCCTCGCAATAACTAGGTTGTTTGAGAGAAATGATCTATTTCTATAATTATAGATCATTTGTATCTTGTTTCTCATTGAGTTATTAATAAAAAATCAGCCCTTATTCCATCTATTTGTTGATGTTTCCCCTGTTGTTCCTTTTTTTCTTTTTTTTGTAGATTTTACTCCATGGCGTATCAAATTGGTATAAGAGTAGTGTTTTGGGCTGAAAGTTAAAGTCCCCATCGCCGATTTCTGCTACTGATTTTCATTGTTTGGAAGTCAAATTCATCAATTTTTGTTGTTTTTCGCGGATTAGAACCCAAAATCTATAAATGGCAGCAAAAAAGATGGAAGCTTTGGAGAGCGAGATGAAATAGCTTATGGCCGAAATGCAAGAGAAACATTCCGGGATGGAGGAATAAGTTTCCGTAATAGAAGGAAGTTCTCCTCCATGGAGAGCCATTTTGGAAATATGGAAGGCATGATAAAGAAGTTGATTTAAATGCAATCGAAGGCTTCGCCGACTATTCCTAGAGCAGATCGGAAGGGGAAGACAATTCAAGAAGATGATGATAAAGTGGAGAGTGTATTCCCTCAAGGACTAACTAGGGGGATTCTGATGGGAGGCATTTCGAGGTATACAGAAGAGAGGGCAGCGAGAATAGGAGAATCTGAACCCTTTTGGAGACCACCTAGGCATGAGGGAAGGTGGATTGGAGGAAGCAATGGTTGGGCCAAATGATATGGTTCAAATCTGCCAAGGGAAGAAGGGAGAAAATTACACCACCATTACACAGGGGGAACCAACTGTGGGAGAAACTAGTGGGGTATGGATGCAAGATCGAGGAAGTTAAAGATGACTTTCAAGGGGAAGATGCTCAGGGATGTGCGTAATGAGTGGAGCATTACTTTGCAATTAATGGTCTGACAAAAGAAGAAAAACTCATAGTGGTAGGACAATGTTTGGAAGGAAAAGCCCTAGCTTGGTTTCAATGGAGAGAATCTAGATATCTAATCTATTCTTGGGGGGAATTTAAGGATTGTTTGTTGGAACATTTTCGAGCCATTCGGGAAGGGGACCTCTATGAACAGTTCTATACCTTAACTTAAGAAGGGACCGTCATGGAGTATCGGGAGAACTTTGACCTGCTGTCAGGTAGACTGAGGGGAATTTCTAAGGAAGGTTTCGAAGGAAATTTTAAGAAGAGTCTTAGGAAAGACATAAGGGCAGAGCTCAAAGTGATGAGGCCTAGAGGGTTGAGAGAGACAATTGAGCTAGCACAATGGGTACAGGAGAAACATCAGAGGGAGAAGGCTAACTAGAACAACCCCATGGGAGGGACTTACATGAGTACCTCTATGACCCTACACCAAGGACCCAAATGATGTCATTTCAAAGGGAAGCACCTAAGGAGAAAGGCACAAGAGTTCGTCCTGGAGATAAATTCAAACATCTCATAGAAGAAGCAATATAGGATAGACGTGCGAAAGGACTATGCTTCAGGTGTGATGAGAGATTTACACCCGATCATATGTACAATAATCGAGCCCTTCAAGTCTTCATGGTCTGTGAAGGGGAAGAGTCGAGCGGAGACGAGTTGGAGGATGTACTGGAGGAGACAGAACAGTTGAATTTGGAAGTGGCAGAGGTGTCCTTGCACTCTATGGTGGAATTTACTGCAAATCACATCATGAAAGTAAGGAAGCAAATTGAAGAGCAATCTGTGGTAGTTTTGGTGGATAACGGAGTTATTCCTCGATCTTTTTTGGAGGGAGCTATTCAAAATGCAATGAACGATCATAAAAAGGAGCACAACATATCACCTACAAATAGACGGCTAGATGGAAGCAGTCAACAAGAGCGTGGAGACATACCATAATCAAATTTGGAAGATTTTTTTTTATCTTCTTAATTAATTAATCAGAGATTCTATAAATCATCATAGTAATAAATTTATATCCAGTAAAAGCAACTAATCATCATATATCAAATTTATATACTATGCATTTACTTCAAAAAATCATATCATTCAATTTAACAGGTAAAAATTCAATATACTCCTATTAAACTGCTCATATTGATGAGATATATTGCATACCAAAAGTTATGCGGTGAATGTTTTTATCACTACAAAATTATCATCGTTTTTCGGTAATGGAAATACAAATTTGATAAAATAAATATCAAAAATACAAAATTATTGAAATAAAAAATAGAGTACAATTCCTTGCAGCGAGACAAGCAAAAAGGATCACGACAAAAATAGCACCACGACCTCCAAAACCTAGCTTTTACTTTCTCTTTCTTCTCTTTTCTCTCTTAATTTTTCTAAACCTTCTATGTTAGCCGAAATGAATAAGAGAAAAGGGATTTCAAATAAAATTATACAATGCTTTAAGATATTTTGAATAAATTAATATTATAACATACATATAACTATATAATTTAATTATTTTTTCAGTATAAAATTCATATAAATTATTTTGAAACTTAAAAAATTATAGAAAAATATCAATAATTAAAATCAATTTATTTAAAAAATACTTGTGAAATCGGTTTGCAAAACAAACACCTGACGGTCCAAAAATACTAACTTGTATCGATATGTATCAATTTCTTAATGATTTGTACTAATGCCCAAAAATAACAAAAAAAATAATATAATTAAAATATTACAATATAAATGTTATAGCGAAGGTGATTTTCAAATTTGACTTAAAATAACTCCTAAAAAACTATTTTCTTGGGTCAAAATACAAAAATTGCATTGTTTCATATTTGAAACACCAAAATTATGGGCCAAATGGTTAGCATGGGAAGAATATTGGTACAATACGTCCTTCCACAGTCGCACAGATGGCCCCCTTCAGGATCCTTTATGGGAGGGACCCACCCCATTTGATACACTACGGGAAAGGCACTACACCAGTATTTAGTGTAGATCAATACTTGGAGAAGAAGGACAAAATATCAATAGAACTCAAAGGGCATCTATTGAGGGCTCAATAATTTATGAAAAAAAAAAGTAGATGAACACAGACGGGAAGTACAACTCAAGCCCAGGGATAAAATTTATCTGAAACTAAGACCATATAAACAGAAGACACTGGCCAAGATGAGGAATGAGAAGTTATCCCCAAGATATTTTGGACCCTATAAGGTGATGAATCATATTAGGGAAGTAGCCTATCGTCTGGGGTTACCAACAGCATCAGCCATGCATCCAATATTCCATGTATCACAGCTGAAACGTATTATCGAAGATCACACACCCACTTCCTCACTGCCGGCAACTTTAACTGAGGAAATGGAAGTGATTTTGAAACCTATGGAGATCAATATAAGGGACGAAAGGAGCAAAGGAGGTCCATGTTCGATGGAAGGATTTCTATGAAGCTATATGGGAACCTTATGAGATGATCATGAAACAATTTTCATCCTTACACATTGAGGATAAGATGCAATTCGAGGAGGGGAGCATTGATATAGCAGCAGAGGCCTAGGAGTGGTTGGACTGGCCGGTCCAGTAGGCCTCGAGCTTGGGGGAGATGGATCAGGGAGGGCGGACAAGGCAAGATCCAAGGGGGTGATTTCAGGCCCCCTTGTAAGGCCCAATAAAAAATTAATTCATTATGTTATGAGAGGAATTAAAGGGAGGATAAATTAGGAAAGATTTCTAATTGAATTTAAGAGAGAAAGATTTACTAATTGAATTTAAATAATAGGGAAAGATTTCCTAATTAAATTTAAATAAAAGAGAAAAATTAATAAGGAAACAAATCTGTTTTGGAGGTAACTTGAAAGCTTATTTAAGGAGGTAATTTGAAAGTTTATTTGAGGGGGCGAGGGTTTATTGAGGCATGCATATTTTGAGTTTGCTGTAATTTTTGTAGTTTTTCTTTTGTGAGAACTTCCTAGCAAGGACTAGGTTGTTTGGGAGAGATAATCTACCTATCTAATTGTAAATCACTTGTATCTTGTTTCTCGTCGAGTTATTAATAAAAAATCAGCCCTTATTCCTTCTATTTGCTGCTGTTTTACCTGCTGTTCTGTTAGTTTTTTTTTGCTGATTTTGCTCCATGGCGTATTACAATTCAATTCTGCAAGTATACATTTCCTAATGGAATTTCTCTGACAAAGTAAGCACTAAAGATTATTGCCAACAGAAGGTGTGAAAGGGTTATATGTCCATAAAACGGATCAGATCATCCATGAAATTTGGAAATCTTCTCTTCATAGGAAATTGAGTAAATGGCAGCTACATGAAAAGAAAAATCTAGAAAAAGGTAAAAATAAAGCATGCATTTCAGCTATGAAAGATAATAACAAGATTTGAATGGAACCAGTTTACATTTCTTCAGGGAACTTGTGTTAGTCTCCATAGTTTTATTGAGCCATCGTCACTCGCTGAAGCAAGAATTTTCGGTTCCTGAGAAATTTTAAACCACGATGAAGTGAGCTAAACCTCTCGCCGACAACAACGATTAGCTGAGAAAGAAATATGGCCTTCACTAAAGGAGCTTGAGATTAATATTTACGTTGGGATTCCACTGCACAGAGTTCACATCCATGTCATGAGCTTTGTCCTTCTTCAGAATTAAGCTGTATGATAGCCCACCAACCTGCATATTCGAGATAAACTTAGACCAGAATCTTGTAGCCTACATTTTCCAGAAACTCTCCTGAGAGGGATAAATGGATCCTTATAGCTCAATCAAGTATGACAATAAAGAATGAGATGGAAGCTGGGAGTACTAGAGGTGTAAAGCATGTGTTGAGCTTGAACCATTCTCAGTTTACACTTGCCTAGGTTATCAAGTTAGAGGTCGAGTTGAAGCTCAATTTTATGAGTTTGAAATAGTTCACATTCGGCTCGTTTATCATAAAGAGAAAAGTTGACTTTAATTCAAACTGCTATAAGAAAAATGAAAAAAGAAATGAAAATTTTATGAAATAATAATAAGAAATCCATTGAGCTAGGAAAGAATTTTTAAAATATTTTTGATAAGGGAAAAGGGTAAAATGGTCCCTTGATTTTTTATGAAGGACCAAAATTATCACCAACTATATTAAATGACTATTTTCTTCCCACAAGTCTTTAAAAAGGAATCAAATTAGTCTCATGGTGGGACAATTTTGATTTTTCTTTGAGTGATCAAAATGGACATTTAATATAATTAGAGACTATTTTGGTATATTATATTGAGTCAAGGGACCATTCTGATCATTTTTTTTTATAAATTTGTACTCAAATCATCAAATTCTAATAAATATAGTGTATTTAATATTATTAGTTTTTTAACAAGTTAGCTCAACATTTGATGAGTTGAGCTGGCGCAAGAACAAATGAATCAAGTCGGAATTAACTTCAATTTGGCTTGTTAATTCATTGAGCCATCAATCGAGCTAAGATAAGTCAAACGGACTCAGTTACAACCCTAGCGTATGATCTGGATATTACTCAACAGAGAAAACCTAAATGTCACTATCTGCTCATTTGTACATAAACCTAAATTATGCTGGCATACTTCTTACAATATTGACACGAATCTTAATCTTATTAACTACCTCAAAAGCCAACATTGACCTTCTGAAAGCAAAAGACAAGTTGGTTCATAAAGAGGACCTTTTTTTTTTCTTAGTGAGGGGGGGGGGGGGTGGGGGGGGGGGGGGGGGATTTTACTGCAGACTCATAACAAAAAAGATACGGACATGCTGCAAAGTTTATCCTCCAACTAAAAATCCCTATATTTATTGAAAGGGGAATAGGAAGTACCAAAGAATCTTTTGTCTCATGAAAAAGGCAAATAGAATCATCAGCTGCTCCAGTAGCAATAATACCATCCCTATAAGAATGAAAAAATAATAATAAAGTGAATCCAATAATCTATTTTAAACTAATTAATCAAATTGTAAACAGTGTAAAAGGTGCACAAGGTAAGAAAATTATTTCATTTAATGAAAGTTTAAATGCCAAGCCTCCTATATATATAGCAGTATTAAGGTACTTCATTTAGCTAGGAAAACACAGAAAATCATGTCACCCTGGCTAGTGTCCCATCAACCAGATTCACTCTCAACGTACTCTCACAAACTAAAATAAAAGTTAACTGGTAATTGTGGCAGTAAGTTCAGAGCTCAGACTGGAGGGGAAATCCATTAACATGCTCTTGGAACTACTACGAGAAAAAGTGTCATGTTTCAGTTTAAGTAAACTATGATTACACCCTTAGAACTCTTCATTCATACAATCTATCCTAATTTTTTATCAAGTAAATTATAAAGCTCATATTCATCCAAAGTCGAACCTAATAAATTTAAATATTAACGTGATTGAAGTACTCTTGAAGATAGAAACAAAAAGTAAACTAAAATCTAAGCCAACCCCAAACAAAAAGGCTAAAAAAAACATTAGTTGGTTGAAATACTACAGCACCATGATGAATGCCCACCTGTGAAAATGTCACTACAATAACAGTTCTACAATGATTTTGGAAATCAATAGAAAATCATTAAAGTCGTTCACTATGTCTTCCTGTTCTCCACTAGATGCAGATACAGCAAAAGGAAACGAATATTATGATTGATAAAATGATGAAATTCACCTTGACCAATTAACTGAAAACACTGTCCGGTCCTGATATCCTGATAGAGTGCAGAGGTGAAACCTGAAAGAGTTCATTGGTAACCGTTAAGGAGATAAGATTTAAGTGCAAATGAGTTAGCACTTAAGAACTCATGTTGACGGTCAAGATTGAATTGTAACAGTTCTAGAGAAATCAACATAAGCATTCTCCATCAAACAAACCGAGGTATGATCTCTCCTTAAGGAAAAGGAGGCAACTAAACTTTTAGAATATGATGGCCCAACGAGGCGGGCAAACACTCATGCCACAAAGTTGATAAAAATGATCAGGTACAATCATCAAATGTTTTTCAATATGGTCGTTTTCATCACTTAGCTAAATTCATACAACACTGGGTTTGGCTCAGGTATGATTAAACATAATTGAGGAAAAAATTCATGTCAGCACCTTGAGTTTTAATAAACATTCATCAAAATGAATTTTAAAATTGTCAGATCTACTTTGAGAGGTGCAAAATATAAATTTTGATTGATTACCCATTTATTACACTAATATTAAAATAAATTCAACGGCTTTAAGATTCATCCTAAATGAACTTTGCTCGGGATACCTTGAGCAAAATTTTATCCAATAAATAATGATTGGCCAAGAAATTCATAATGCCAGTATTATTTACGGCTACAAACGCTGTACCATTTATATGATGTATTATGATTTTTTTTCCTTTACAATGATTAAATGGTGTTTCTATATTGTTAATATAAATTACTCAGTGACTAGTCATTCATCAAAACAGACGTTACTGTGATTGTATGAAAATGTTACAAAATTAACTCAAAACAAGAATCCTTCTCATCTCTGTTCATTACTTCCTGGTACGACCTTGGCTCATCTTTTAACAAATGTTCAGCAACTATAATTTTTTTTAGGAAAATGCAACCTAGTGCATTAAAATTATTATTAGAAGCATAAGAAACAAGAAACTAAGAAATTACACTTGATTCCTCCTTTAACAAAGAAATAAAAGAGGGAGGAACCTTATTTGAACTAAATCATCCCAAACAAATGAACTAACAATAGCATAGTTAGCCCAAAGATCCGCTAACTTATTGCATTTCCTATCAATACAATTAAAAATAACATTTTTGATATTTTTGAAAAAAAAGTCCCAAATCTTTCTTATTTCCATAAATCTCTTCTTGGATCTCTTTAATGATATTTGCATTATCACTTTTAATGATGATACCTTTGTAGTTTAACATCCAATCTTTAAACACTTGTTTGACTGATCGGATGGCTAACATTTCAAGTCTTGATATATCCCAATGAACACAATTATGTCCAAAAGCCAATAAAAATCTGCCTTTAAAGTCACGGAAAACTCCCCCAATTCCAGCTTTATAAGATGTAAGTAAGGAAGCATCAACATTTACCTTGATCCACTCCGGTGGAGGGGGGTGCCAACGATCATTCAATAGCTTATAAAGCTGATTAGCATCCCATTTACCCGATAAAACAGCAAAATTGGAAGCAAAAATTGTAGCCAAACTGAGTGCTTCCGAAGCAACATATAACGATTCATCATCTTTGCCTTCGTGTATCACTTTATTCCTCGCTTTCCATGAGAAATAGATGACATTATAGAACAGATTTACCACCCAACAATTTTGGTTTGGAATCCAATTTAAACAATCTGTCAATGATTCAAAATTTGGAATTCCAAATCCCCATTGATTTAAGAATTGGTATACCTCAATCAATTTTTTGCATTTTACAACTACATATTCAATATCCTCAATCATGTTGCATCCTCTTGGACATTCACAATGCATTTGCAATCTTCTGTAACTTAAGAACATATTTGTAGGGATAGCTTTGTCAAACATCCTCCACCAAAACCCTTCAACCCGAGGAGATAGTTTTGCCTTTTTTATCCAGCTCCAATACAAGACCCTTTGTGTATTTTGTGTAGCATCTTCATATGCCAATGAAAAGATTGATTTCCCAGAATTTCTGGAAATCAGTTCCATGCTATCTTTACTCAACTCAGCATTAATGTGATGGACCGGACCGGCCGGTCCAGCCCACAGCAACACCGGCCCAAAAAGGGCTGGTTCTCACGTACTGCAGGCGGAGAACCCGCCTGCCTGGGAGGTCAGCCGAAAGGGAGAGAGGAGGCGGGTGGGCCCAAGATGGCCACCAAATTGAAGAGGGAGGATGATGTGTTTTCCCTAGGGGTAATTAGGGGTTTATGGGGGGTTTTGTGGGAGTTAAAAGGGAGTTAGGGTTGGTTATGGAGGCATCTTGTTTTGGTGGCTGTTTTTAGTTTCTTCTAATCTAGGGCTTGGGAGAAAGCTTCTCTTCTCGAATTGAGAGCATTGTATCCGTGGAAACTCGTAAGTTTTTTGATATTTAAGTAACCGAAGTGTTTGTGAGTGTTTTCATCCAAGAAATCCTCTATTTTTCCACTGTTTTTGGGCTGTTTTTCCTGGATTCCGAATTTTGCAACTCAAGTTCCATCATAATGCTACTTTGAGTAATCAAGTTGATGAGATCAGGCCCAAAGTTTTTCCCCAGCTCCTCTATATTCCAACATCCGTTTGAAATAAATCTATCCACCGTGCTATCCTCCATTCCTTGCAAAGCTACAAAAGTAGGCCAGCTGCTATGGTTTTTATCCAATATCCAAATGTCTTCAAGAATATTTATCCTTTCACCATTAGCAATATCCCATCTTACAATGGGTTTAAGGTAAACTCCGCCATTATGAATAATTTTGGAAGCCGTAAATCTTTTTTGAAAAAACTTCTCCATATAAGCGCCCATATTTCGGAAACAGCACTTTGTGCAATAGTGAATCTTCATCTTGGTTGTATCTCCAAGCTATCTTTGCTCTTAGAGGACCTACTTTGTCCTGACAAGAATGAAGTGCTCTCCCACCCCCATTTTATTGGCAAACACATAGTACTCCAATTAACATAATGCATACCATGAATACCATTTAGCTTGTTCCAAATGAAGCTTCTACATATTTTGTCCATCTCATGAAGGATACCCTTTGGAATCAAAGTATGAGAGCTATGAAAAACCGTATATGACAGTAAAACAGATTTGACCAAATTTATTTTCCCAACCAAGGAAATGTATTTGCTTCCCCAAATGTTAATCATTTTAAGTGCCTTTTCAATGATGAATTGAAAGTCCTGACCAACTAACCTTCTCAATATTATCTTGATACCAAGATAATGAAATTCTTTAACTTTAATACCCATTATGCGAGATATGATTTTCTTCTTCCTTCTTCTAACCATTTTCCCAAAAAGAATACAAGTTTTATTTGCATTCACTTTTTGTCCAGTCCAACTACAAAAATCTTCTATTATACCTTTGATATTCTTAACCATTTTCAACTTTGCTTCTAAAAAAATTATGATGTCATCCGCAAATAATAAATGTGAGATCTTGGGACCATTTGGACTAATGCTAACACCATAATTTACACCTCTATGTTTAAAAGCATTTGACAATAATTGAGCACAAAGGATAAACATATAGGGTGATAAGGGGCAACCTTGACGAAACCCGCATTTGGCCTCGATCCATCTTGATGAATTCCCATTAATAATTAGAGAAAAACTTTGGATTTGTAACTCATTCTACAATCACGGACGAAATGAAGGAATGAAAACCGAAATACTTCAATGCTTTCTCCAATGTTGGCCACCCCATGGAGTCATAAGCTTGCTCCAAATCTAACATAAAAGAAACCAATCCTTTATTAGATTTTGAATGTCTGAATTTGTAGAATAATTTGTGAGCCAACATTACATGATCTGACATAGATCTGCCTTTTATAAATGTTGCTTGTTCTTCCGAGATCACTTTAGGAATAACGGATGATATTCTATTAAGAATCACCTTAGCAGCCACCTTGTATACCGCATTGCACAAGCTGATTGGTCTGAATTCAGAAGGATAGATTGGACTAGAAACTTTAGGAATTAGCACAACCATAATTTCTTTCCATTTTGAGTTCATTTTACCTGTTTGAAAAAACAGCTTAAGGGCCTTCCAAAGATCATCCTTAATGATGCTCCAATAGACTTTAAGAAATTTATATGTGATGCCGTCACATCCAGGAGCTATGAAGTTACCAGTATTTTTGATAAAGGCTACTTCTTCAAATGAAAATTCTCTGTTTAAATAATTAGCATCTTCTTCATCCAGAGGAGCAAGAATCCGGCCATCCTTCCAATTTGCATCCCCTATATTTTCATTTTTCCTGAAAGAAATCAATAAATCTGTCTTCAATTTGGAGTAGATCTTCTATTACCAATCCATCTTCATTTTTTATTTTATTTATAAAGTTGGCATTTCTTCTTGCACTAGCGTGTGCATGAAAGAATTTTGTATTACAATCTCCATCAATAGCCCATTTCACCTTTGCATGTTGCCTCCACCATGTGTTAAGCCGAGCTAGATTAGAAGTGAACTCACTCACTTAGTTTTAAAGTAATAAGCTGTCATCACCCGAGAGTCCTCCTTTATTGTCTTTGTCTTAAAGTTCCAAAATTTCATTGTTTAAGCATTCTTTCCTCTGAACAAGGGAATTATGCTTATCTTTGCTCCAATAATACAAACCCTTTAAAGATCTTTTCATTTTACAGTTCAGCATATGGCCATAATCTCCTTCAGTTTTCCTTTTCCAAGCTTTCTTAACCACCGCAAAGGAAGCAGGGTTAGATATCCAGATGTCTTCACATCTGATTTGTTTTTTTATGGGCTTATAATAAAAAATGTTAAGAATCACTGGACAATGGTCCGAGGCAATTCTAGCCAAGTGTCATACCACCAACCGATGAGGAGAGCTTAATGCCATTGAATTTAAGTAGCATCTATCCAATCTTTCTAGAATTCTATCAGCTCCCGATTTATTGTTGCACCAAGTAAATTTGGGACCAATACAACATACCTCATGAAGATCATTATTTGTAAGAAAAGAGTCCATTTCTTTGGCACCTAAGGAATAGATGAATCTTTTTCCTCCCCTTTTGTCTTCCTTATTAAGAAGACAACTAAAA